TCTCTCTCTCTCTCTCTCTCTCTCTCTCTCTCTCTCTCTCTCTCTCTCTCTCTCTCTCTCGGCGCCGTTCGAATCTGCAAGACGGGAATGAATTTTCCTGTGATTTCGGGAAAATTCATTCCCGTTTGGCACATTCCAACCGCCCGGCCAGAGAGAGAGAGAGAGAGAGAGAGAGAGAGAGAGAGAGAGAGAGAGAGAGAGAGAGCATCAATTTCGCCGGCTCTCTCTCTCTCTCTCTCTCTCTCTCTCTCCCTCCCCACGCGAAGTTTTCGTTTCGTTTTTTTTTTTTTTTTTTGGGTAGAAGTTTTTTTTTTTTTTTCAATTTTTTGGGGGGGGTGCGAAATTGCAACGACCGGGCGTTGGAGCTAGTGACCGCCGAAAGTCACGGCGCGTTAATGGCCGCGACTTTTTTTTATAGCTGGGCGAGGTACTGGTGGTTTAATAAAGCATCAAGCAACTTGTAAGTTGTTCTCAGAATTTTCTCAGCCGAAGCCAGGTAATGGCCCCGGTGCTTTAATACTTGTGTATTTTTATGGGATGCTGGGCCCGGTTCCCAGCATGTGCTGCTCCCCACGAATAGATTGGAGCATTTTGTCCCCCCCCACCCCCCCAAAAAAAACAAAAGCATCAAGCAACTAAAGCAACAAAGAGTTACAAACCCGATGCCTAATTCGGCAAGAGACAAACCGTATTTATTCCCAAAACACAAGGAGGAGGCATTGAACACACAAAGCACAGCAATATATCCTTCACCATGCCCAAAACCCGAACACTAGCAACAACAGAAAGCCTCTCGTCTAAAACGATGAGCCAAAGGATGCTCATCAAGAAAACAAACAGCCGTGCAAAGAAAATCACGCCTCCACTTCGGCAGCTTGTACAAATCTGGCGGTGGATTTTTTGAAGTTGTCAGTAGAACCAGTGTAGTACGCACATGCCTTTTTGAATTTTGCGTTTTGTGAATGTCAGAGAGGGAGAAAAAATGATAAGAAGAAAAAAAACATTGAAAAATGAAGAAATGGTCCAGGTAAAAAAAAAAGAACAAAAGAAAAAAAAGAAAAGGGAAGGACAAAAAAAAAGGCTCATTGGGTAACGGGATGTGAGGCCCTTGTACAATGGCGTAGACTCTGTCAGTTGTCATCATTGTCGTTCTTTTACGGGACTTTCCTTGGGTCGCAGCGTCCTGAAGAGAGCATCGAATTGCTGTTCGAAACAACGGGCATTAAACCACCACTACCTTTCACAGGCGAGATGTCTAAATCGAAAAACTAACCTGTTCCGTATTCTTCGGAGGCCAGGCGCTGCGGGAGCAAAACGGCTCAGGCTCAGGAGGCTTCCCTTCTAAGACAGTCTTGAAGTCGCTGAAGGATTTCTCAGGGTCTCAGAAAGGGGTTTGGGAAGGTTTTGGATTGATATTCTCTCAGGAGTCGGGACCTTTTTTTTTTTTTTTTTTTGTCCTTTCTGGTCTCCCTCTCGGCATCTAATCCCGACACCCACTTCCCCACCCCCTTTGAAGCGTGCGGCTGAACCTTTTTCGAAACCCTCACTACGATCGCTTTACTGGACGCAATTGGTGCCTCGTTCTAATCGGTGGAAGGCGGTTGGTTTCAGCGGGCTTTTCATGCCGCCTGTGGAACGCAGTCATAGGCGGTGTGAAAAGGGCGCCGGCGGTGAAAAGGGCGCTAGCGGTGAAACGGCGATATCAATCACAGTCGACTCTTTGACATTGACTGTGGAACGCAGTCTGTTCCTTCCTATATTTGGCGAAGTCAACATGTTCTAGGCAACTTCTCGCCCTCTGTACCTTTCCGTCTGTGGCTACTTCACATCTTCGGCGGGCGAGCGTGTACAGCGGCGTTTCTACTCTCGAACGTGCTGAGCTCTGGACTCCTCCTCGTCGACCTTGCGCCTCGAAGTTACGTCTTCCCTGACCACTCCTCTCCTAATTTGTAATTCGAAACTCTCTCCGCTCCTTCCCAGTCTGATATCCCCTGCCTGACTACGACTTCCTACGCTCGTCTCCATTGGTCTCGCTCCACTACACTAAACTCTCGAAGATTTGAGAGTTCTGCCTCGCTACACTTACACTAGACAAACCGCTCGAAAATGTTTGACATGTCTAGTCCTGTCAGAAAAATGCTCCAGACCCCCACTCTGACCCCTCTAGGTAGAGTGACCCAGCCTGCAGCACCTGTTTCCTCTAGGGTCCTCCGTTCTGGTCTTGAAACGGTCGGTGCCCAAATTCGCAAAGTCTACCGCAAGTCTGGGTGGACAAACCAGGCTGGCGGTGTCGTGTTGTGGAATGGGACAAACCAGATGTACTATTTTGACTGTTGGAGTGTCTTTCTAGAGTAGCAGTAGCACCCTCTAGTGTAGGTGGAGCAAGGCCAGCTTGAAAAAAAAAGAAAAATTGGACCATTTCTCGATTTATGCGTGTCATCCTTGTGCAAGGGCCATGCTAATCTATCTTCTCTGTATCGTTCCAATTTTAACGGATGTCCCGAAGGACAGGCCAGCTTTTTTAAAAATGTTTTCTACAGTCTGACAACACTCGACTAACTCTACACTTCTTTTTTTTTCTACAGTCAAGTGTAGTGGAGCAAGACCCCATATCTTCCCTTTTCTTCATCTGCAAAAACGTTTTTCAGCAAGTTTTCTCTCCCTTCTCCCGACTCCTCGGTTCCTCACTGTCCAGATTGCCCTTCCTGACAACTTCCCTTCTCGTCCCTCTGACAGCCTCTCGTCTCCACGTCCACCCCACCTGGGGTCTTACTTCTTTCTCCCTGGCCCCTGTGTCTTTCCGGCTTCTCAGTATGGATGAGCTGCTAGAGCTTGGTGTTCCGTCATGTACTGGACTTCGTTCTATCATGGCGTGGATGACCACCTCTCATCGTCACGTCCACCCCACCTGCGCTTTTACTTTCTCCCTGGCCCCTGTATCTTTCCAGCCTCTCAGTATGGATGAGCTGCTAGAGCATGGTGTTCCGTCATGTACTGGATTTAGATCTATCTTCGTGTGGATGATCTTCCTAGAGACTGCACGGTGGGAGAATGGTTCGATTATATATACAAGGTTGTCATTGTCTTGGATACGCGCTTCTCGAGTCCCCTGACGATTCCGTAACTGGCGGATGGATGAAAGTTCATGAAATGATGAAATGCACAGCGTAGGGACACGCCAGCATGGCATGGACTTCCAGGTTTTCCGATAATTTCAGCGCCTGATTTTTTTCTTGCTCGTAATCTTGTCTACATGGCGTGGTGTGTGTTGCCTTTTTCTTTCTCTTGCAGATGGTCCCATATCTCCTTCGCCCTGCTATGGGTGTAATTACCTTTCTCACACCTCACTCTGTTGCCACCCACGTGGCCTTCATGCTTGCACGATCTACCCAAAATGGCTGCTGGCACTCGCCAAAACAAAAGAAAAATGGTTGCGCTGCGCCGCTGGCGGTTCGGCAAAGCTTGGCGCGCAGTTCATCTCTGCCTTGGTCAAAAGACGCTCAGAGATGGTGGTGGTTTAAGAGCAGGAGCAAAAAAAAAAAAAAAAAAAAACGCCGGGACATCCGTTAAAAAATGGAACAATACAGAGAACATTAGCACGGCCCCTGTGCGAGGATGCCACACATAAGTCGGGAAATGGTCCTTAAAAAAAAAAAAAAAAAAAAAAAAAAAAAAACAGCCCATTTGGCATTTGCTCATTGGATGAGTGGATAGAGGGAAACAATGACCTCACTTTTTTTCCTATTTCCAATTCTTGATGTTGGAAATACCATCCTACAGTGGACACCTACACCTGTACCCTACCTTCTTGGCCAGTAGATTAACAATTGCAATCTCATGGCAAACGCCCAAGCACACACTCTTTTCCTGACTTCCAAAGTTAAATTACTAGCAAAATAAGTTGTGGAATGACAGAAGGAGTTCTACATCTTCTTTATTTCTAAGACCTTCTTCACCGACCTGCTCTCCGCGCCTCTCTCTCTCNGTGTGTGTGTGTGTGTGTGTGTGTGTGTGTGTGTTCTATCTATCTATCTATCTATCTACTTATCTGCATAGCTTTTGACACCAACAAGAGTTCTCTCAAAACTTGTGTTGGCTAGAAGCCACATACACTTCAGAGATTGTACACTGGGCGCCAAGAGCTTCTCCACCTCCTCAACCACAGTAGACTTATCCCTGTTGGTGCAGACACAAGCAAACAAAACACATGCAAATTAAGTCAATCTTACCAAGAACTCCACAGTCTGCAACACAAGAAAATTATATCCTCTGCCGACTTCTAGTTTGACGCCTTTGAGCATCTTTCATCTTTCCCCCTTTTTCCAATCTTTCCTTCACCTCCTCCTCCCCACTACCAACACCAGCAACATTAACATCAACAAAGACAACCACAATAGCAACAACAACTCTAACAACAGCAGCAACCACCACCACAACAGCAGCAGCGGCAGAAGCAGCAGCAGCAGCACCACCACCACCACCACCACCAACAACAACAACAACAACAACAACAACAACCACAACCACAACAACAACAACAACAACAACAACAACAACAACAACAACAACAACAACAGCACCACCACCACCACCAACAACAGCAACATCATCAACAACAACAACAACAGCATTAACGAGGACAGTAATAATGACAACAGCAACGACAACAACAGCATCAACAGGGTCAGCAATAATGACAACAGCATCAACGAGAACACCAATAATGACAACCGCATCAATGAGAACAGCAATAAGGACAACGACATCGGAACAAAACAACAGCAGCAATGCAGTTAGCAGATGTTGATGTAGACATTGTGATCCCTGACCCCCATTGCGCAAAGCGATCACAAGAACAGCTAACTGCGTTGTTGCTGTTTTTTTTTGGCACCATATTTGACTTTAGAATCCATTCTGCACACGATTCGGCAACAACAAAGCCATTCCCCACCGCCAGGTTCGCATTGTATGCGCAATGATGATTGTAAAACATCTACATATGAATGGTATTGGAGCTGGTTCCCGCTGTCTTGCGCTGTCGTCGTCATCATCGTTGCCCGGCGCCAAGAAGAGAGGAAGGGGGTGCGCCACGTCAGCCCCGTGGTAGAGGAGGATAGAGGTGCCTGTATTGCGCCACGTCAGTGCCAAAGGGAGCGTGCCGCGTCAGAGGCATCATTGTCGCCGCTGCGCCGTTGCACCACGCGTGCTCCGCTGCCGTTCCCGTTTCCGTCGCGCGCGCGTTTAGCCGTTGCAAGCGCTGCTGCACGCTAGCAGCCTGTCACGCGTTATTGCCATCGCGCGCCAAGATTCGCTCGCCAGTCGTATTGCGCGCTCGAGTACCCCGCGCGCCCGCTCCACTCCACTGTTTGCCGGGTGCTTCCCGCCATTCCACGCGCGCTCTGCTTTGAGTGTATGCCCCGCTGTGCGCCACTGTTCGCTGCATCGCGCGCGCCGTGGTTTCAAGTGTTCGCCATTGCGTGCGAAGTGTCGCACGCCGTCTTTTCGTCGCATGCCTGATCGTGAGTTGAAGTCGCCACGTCGGAGAGGGCCGCTGCCGATCGGGAAAGACGTCGCTGCACTGTTGGGGGAAGATCGGCACATCATTGAAGGAGGTCTGCCGCGCTGGAGAAGAGCCATCGTGCCACCGCGAAGACGGAGACTGCAATCGTTGGAGAAGAATCACTGTGCCAAAGTAGAAGGTTGCTGCGCTGATTGAGAGGAAGGCGGCCCGCTGAATGGAGGATCGCCATTGAGGAGCAGGAGGGCCATTGTGCGAAGTAAGACTGGGTGGCCATAGTCACCGTGCTTGGAAAGAGGTGGGAAATGACGACGACGAGAGAGAGAGAGAGAGAGAGAGAGAGAGAGAGAGAGAGAGAGAGAGAGAGAGAGAGAGAGAGAGAGAGAGAGAGAGAGAGAGAG